CGAGTCGTTGCATAGGAATGCGTGTAAGGGCGCGACTCGGATCGCGTTTACATGGGTTCTCGCGTGGCGTTCGCGGTATAATTGCTTCGGATTATGCAAGATGCAACCATATTACACCCCTCATCGTGAGATAAGCAAAACGAGGACAAAATCGCCATCGGGGCCATTTTCATATCTCATCTGCAACTGCATCAGGTGTGGGCAAGGACGAACAAGAAGCAAGGACAGGGATCCTCAAGAAAAAGAGGTATAAACAGGCATAACGTCCACACATGAACACATTCATACCATCATACATTCGGTAAGTATAGGTATAATGTAATCGGGACGGACATAGCAAAGACAAATGTGAGCAAAAACCCAAGCCCAAATCTCAGAAAGCCGAAACGAAAGTAAGAACGGGCAAACCGCCCGGAGCCGTAATCAAAATGAATGTACACAGACGAAGAGGGGGAAGAGACAAAGAAACAGCAAATCCACGTCCATCGACCTCAACTCTCTCTCCTTCTCTCTCTCTCTTCGATGCGGACAGTCCGTCGTCACGCACCCACCCACGAAGTTGTCACCCCGCTTAGTCCTCCCGCACCCATCGGATTCGCCCGTGCCCACAGTCCGTCGTGGCCCACGTCCATCCCGCGCGTTCGGCACCAGCCCGTTGGGTCGCCCAACTCCTACTCTACTCACCTCTTACTTCGCTCGTGTATCGACCCTTCCTGACTAATCGCGCAGCCGAAATTTATAGCGTGCATGCATGCGCGAAGGACACGAAATTAGCAGAACTTAGAGCGGGGATTAGAGAGGGAGCGCCGGTGTTCCGCATGATCGACCGCGGCGTGGGGGACGTAACCCTTCTCCACGCATCGATCCGAGCATGCAAGCCGCGACTTACAAAAATTTCAGCAAAAGAAAAAGAGGGAGAAGGGGAGAGACGAAGTGCAAGAGGAAAGATACAGTTACAATGGCACCCGCCCAAAATTGCAGTCACACACACGATTAAGGGCGCCCACTAATCAGAGTACCATTGCAGCCGCATGAAAAAGCGCGTAGACAAAAGGTGCAGAGCGGCAGAAAAAGTCCTAATTACTGAATTCCTAAATTCCTATCTAGTGCGGAAAAGTAAAAAACATACATTCCAGAAAGAAAGTCCAAAA